GTGAGTGTGTGCCCTGTGATGGACTGGTGTCTTGTCCAGAGTGTGTTCTGCTTTGTGCCCGTTGGTTGCTGGGAGGCTCCGTCTCCCCTGTGACCCTGTATTGGATAAACAGGATCAAAAATGGGTGATTTAAAAGCTAAGTGGCATTTCCTTGCTGAACAGATTATTGGTATATAAAGCTCATTGCTCAAATGTCAATTACGTCTGCCCAGTAAACTTCCCATTAAGGTTAATGTAGTGTAAAAAGAAGGTGCATTAACAAACTGAGAAGGACAAACTGATGAGCCTTGCAAAAAGGTTATTGTAGTAGAACTTGTTGAAATGGTACCACCGCCTCTAGATGGCCTGCTGGAGACATGGAAATGTGCAATGTGTAGCCAGGGTAAAGGAAAGGAAAAGATCCAGGGATGGTATTTTGTCAGAAATAAAAATGAATGAGCCATGTGTTAATGATTTCTACCACATCGATGTTCCCTAAGTGGGCTTGAAACGGATGTCCTCATCTTTTAAAGATCTCTTGTCACCATGGCTCAGGAGTGAAGATTTAAGGAGATGTTCTCCTGGTTTTTGCATGGTTGTCCTCCAGGTGCTCTGCAAGACTGAAAACATGCTGGTAGGCAGGGCAGGCACAACCCATACTTGGGCCCGGGTGCAAGTAAATACAAAAGCCTCCCCCCTTCCCCGGCTTCCTTCTCCCTCCCCCAGTGCACACAGAGCAAGAGAGCAGAATTACAATGGACTAACATATTGAACTTGATACTTGGTAACTTATTTAAAAGTGGAAAAACATGGGCCTACCTCACAACTTGACTGTTGGCAGTGCTGTTCTCTATAGATGGCAAAGCTGGAGCCGACAGTCTTTTCTGTGACAGGGTGGACCTTAGATAAGTTTTGATCAAATTCAGTTTGTTAAATGAGCGTCCAGCACTGGCGACTGCAACTGGACTCGTTAAAAACACTTGACATGCAACCACTGTGTTTGGAAACGTTTTCCAATGGTCTTTTCTGTTTGCGTTTCTCGCTACCTGCTTTCATGTTACACACTAACTTTTCTTAGCTCAGTGTAAGCTTGTCTGTTGCTCAGTCTTGCAGGGGAACAGGTCACGTTATCCAATTCTACATCTTTTGGAGTGAATGCGCCAATGACCAATTGCAAATCATCCGCACAGCCGTGTTTTCCCCATCGATCGTTGTTTTATTTAAAAATATGCCAGACTGCTATTAAGAATACACCGCGTTCCCCACCCCTGACCTATGAACTTTCGTTCGTTTATTTTATGGATGGTCTTGTCTCCAAAAAAAAAACTGTCATTTGAGTTAGCAACTTGCCCCCCTTAGATCTGGGCCCGGGTGCAGTTTTACCCATTGCTAGTGCCCATTGCTCGCCTGGTAAGGCTCCAGTTCTCCAGTTTCCCTTGCAACCCGCCACCAGGCCCTGATTTTGGTGTCCGTAGGCCCAAGACACTTTCACTCTGAAGTGTGCAAAAAGAAGGGAAAACGCCAACTGAATTGCCTTGGGTGACATGATGCACTTTAAAATATTCTAATGCTAAACCACGTGATTGATGGAGCGAGTTCTAGTTTCTAGAACAGCTGCTGGATAGCGTATGATTGATTTGGAGCACCTAGAGTCGATCGCAGGCATGTTGTTTCAACTCGTTTTTCATTAGTCACGTCGGCCTGCCTAGGCACTGTGCTTACACTCCCTAATGGGAAATCCGGCCCTGGCCTCCACTGGATAAGCAGATTAGAAGATGGATGATCTCCTGTTCATGGTTTGTGTGATAGTGGATTACTCGTAGCGCTGATGAACACGCATAGCGGTGTCTCATTCCAAAGCATACACAGGCAACCTCAAGTTAATGGAGTGTACAAATAGTCCAGTTTCGAAGTGGTTTCATCTCAATTTTCATAGACCTTGTAAATTCCAGGACATTACCTTTATCAAGTAATCATCGTGGTATGGATGAATTAAAAAAAGCTAGGGTGATCTGCAATAGAAGAATAGAGGGCTAAGTGTGGAGTGATAATATAATAGCATGGAGGATTAAACTAATCTGTATGTGAGAGGAACCGTACAGTAGCTATCCAGCAGGTGTGTGCTATAGTATATTGGTCCCAAATTGCAAGGAAGCTCAATTGCTAATGGTATGTTCTTTAAGAACACTATACAATAATTTAAACAGTGTCCTTAGACTAAAGAACTATGATTCTCATCAATCCTTAAATGCAAAAAGATGCTTCTGTTTAAGAATTGTAAATCATTTGCTACTAGTTTCAACCAAGGGAACAGCCTGCCAATTCAAAATGACTTCAAATAGGTCTTTTACTCTCTACAGTGTGCAGTACAACTCTGTTTTGCACTGCATCTTGAATCTTGGTCTGTTTTTGTAAGGGTTGCTGGTCGGCAATTTTGCACAACCAATGTTTGAAATGATAGATGAAAATTCTCATTCTCAGTGTGCGTTCTCCATTGCGCCTCTCACCCTTGACCCTCAGCGACCTCTGATTCTGTTGGTTTACACTCCAACAGGACCCGTAATCCCTAGTTCCAATTGATGCATGTACTGTAATTGATAAGCTTGCTTGTTTAGATTTTTTTTGCACTGTTCTTGGTTTCAAAATTGCCTAGTCAAAGTATATGAAACAACTTGAGCACACTAGAACATGGAACTTTATACAGACTCTTCTCAAATTAATGATTAAAAATAGCTCCCCTTTTTCTGACTTAAGACGATTTTAATGGGTGATCAGAACATTTGAAAGAACATTTTAAAGAAGCACTAAAAGCTGGGAATCTAAATCAGTTTGCCCGGCGATACATCAGTTTTGGAAGCGGCACAAAATAAGTTCAAAATCCGTTTGATTTAAGTTGAAAATTTCATTTACCAGTGATAAACAAGGAACACACGTGGTTTCTCTCGAAACGCTAATTCATTGGTCCTGAATAAGGACTGTAATACACCAGACAATGGTTTATTCTAGGACACAAAATAATTTATTGCATATTTTCTCAAACCACTACCGTGGATTGGGCACTATACTGTACATATTGATGTGCAAACGACTATGTAAATCATGTATGCTTTTCGTTTCGTCCAAAAGTAACATTTTCGTTTTTTAATGATAGCGTGTAAGGCGTTTTGGGATACGTACAGTATTCCAACGTACGGAATTGTTTTTTTATAAATCTCTCGAAAAGGCCATTTCGATCTAACCTATCCTTATTAGCAAAGCCTACGCATTTCTACAAACTAAAATGCTCGAGATCATCCAAATACAGTATTACGGTGACTTTATGTTTAACTGCCCAGCTCCCTTTGAGTAGTAAGGGAGTAGTAAGGGAGTCTCTTGCTGGAAAGCATCGACAAAGTTATTAGACAAACGTATGCAATATTTTGCAGAAGATTACATTTTGTTATATTACAAGCCCGCACTTCATTCTCTTAAAGCTACGAACGTCTCAGGGTAAGATCAAATACTATATCAAGTACGTGATTGATCAAATGTAAGGAAATGACACCGTTGCAAATCAGAGCTGTACACGTAACGCCGAAATGTCAGTCTTCGACAAATTTAACGACGTTAATTTAAATGTTGCACTGTTAGACGAAAGATTTGTATCGCCATCTCCATTATACTGAAATGAACTGTAGCTGCGTTTGTCCAGCTTTAATGACTGACGGATTCTGTGATAGTGTCGAAATGACTGGACGATTTTGATTCACATGGAATGTTAAATTATATATCCTTGAGATGAAATGTTAAACTGAGGTGAGGACTACATGATCATTAAAGATTCCATGGCACTGTTCATAGGTTAGTGTCTTGACTCCATTGTGTCAGCTAAATTCCACTTTGGGCTACAATCTAACCTCTTGAATGCCCCCTTTATTCAACTAGTGAAACAATTTCTCATGTATGCACCTGGTTTGTTGCATAATACTGGTGCATATTGGTATCTGTGTGTCATTAAGCAGTTTGGGATTTGATGGTATGAAAAGTGCAGATGGATTCCTAATAACTGTAAAGTAACAGCAGATCAGAGCCTTTTTTTTCAAAATGCTGTGGTATGGGAAGATGGCTAGTGACATTGATTCATTGTTGAAAGCAACAGCAGACCTGGCTAATGCATCCATTCAGACAGCTCCAGGGGGTTCACAAAGCCTTGGTGGA